AATTTTTATCCTTTTATAATCCTTTAATAGAAACATTCACAATTTTTAAAATGCTTCATGAGGTTTAGTCTGGCTCCTTGGTTCAAGCAACACAGTCACTGTATCAGGGCCAGTCCTGACCCAGGGCACTTCCAGACTGGGAGGGGCAAGCTGGAGGCTCTGCTGCAACCCCGGCCTCCTGTGGAAAGAGCTTTGAAGAAGCAATTGCCTCTTTGGACTCAAGGCTTCACCAGTTACCTTGCAGAGAAATAAAAAGACAAGACTCAAACGTTTACTAAAGACAGTAACTCCCCTTCTAGGCAGGCTACGATGCGGATCTCACTGCGTCGCCAATGAGGCACAGTGGACAAATGACTTGCCCAAAGTCACCCAACCTGAAGGCATCACCAAGCCCGTCTAACTCCAAAACCTGTGTCTCTTCCCCATTGCGCGAGGCTCTGACCATGTGCTGGGACAAAGTCGGGAAGAACTAGGAAGGTGTCATTCTCAAGTGGAGCAATGAACGGCCTCCTCCCAGCACATGGAGCTGAGCCCTGCCAGCTCTTCCTCTCCCAGCTTCTCTTCTCGCAGAGCACAGGGTTTCAACATAAAAGGCAGGTTCCTTTTTGTATTAAAGAGAGCTTTTTAAAAAATGCCAAAGCCCAGGCCCCACTCAGCTGAATTGAATCAGAATATCTGGAGAGAGGTCCTGAGTGTGGTGGTTTTTTTAAACTCTCAAGTGACTTTAATGTGCAGCTAAGGCAGAGAGCCACTGTCCCAGAGCCAAATACAACAGCTCTCTACCGAGACTGCACAGGTTTTTAAAAAAGAAATACTCCCCAGCTTCCATCCCAGGCCAGTCAAATCCAAATCTCTGAGGGAGCGTGGTTGTTCAGATTACACCACTCTACAGTCTAATGTAGGGTATTAGAATTGCTCTACTTTATCTCTTTTCATGAGTTGACTTGTGAGATATATGTACACTGATAATTAAGAGAGAGAAAAGAATCTCTGTGAGAGGCCTGGAATGGCTTTCTTTTTTTTAATGTGTCTTTTATTGATTTCAGAGAGAGGAAGGGAGAGAGAGCGAGAAGTAGAAACATCAATGATGAAAGAGATAAGAGAGTCATTCATCGGCTGCATCCTGCAGGCCCTGACTGGGGATTGAGCCTGCAACTCGGGCATGTGCCCTGACTGGGAATCGAATCATGATCTCCTGGATCCTAGGTCGATGCTCAGCCACTGAGCCAGGCCCAGCCAGGCATGGAATGGCTTTCTTAAGCTCCTCACATGATGGCATGGGCGTCAGGTAGGGAGCCACTGAACGCAGTGCGGTTTCCTTCAGGGTAATGGAGCACGCAGGCCGGAGGTCCCAGGAGAGGGGCTGGCCACAAGGCTGCTATTGTCTCAAAAGAAATTCCTCAACGCACAATGAAAGCCACCTTATTCTGTGGGAATCCATCAGGAGCCCACGTCCTGATAGGAAGCCCTGGCAAGGTGCTGTGGGAGCTACTAAGATATTAATAACCATAACGGCGAACGCTGATGCGGCACTGACTTGTTCAGGCATTGTTCTAAGTGCTTTGCATTTGCACTCATTTATTAAGCAGTTACTATTGCCCCATTTTATAGATGAGGAAACTGAGAGATTAACTAACTTGCCAAACGTTGCAGCGCTGCCAAGTGGCAGAGTAGGGGTTCAGACCCAGGCAGTGACGTGCATCCCTGGGCTCAAGGAGCTTACAGTCCAGTAGTAGAGATGCCACGGGCAGCCAAATAATGCCCCAGCAAGGTAGCATGTAATAAATACATGTTTAAGTAAGTGTCATAAAAGAGCTTGACGTATGTTTGAGGCAGATTAACTTCATCAGAGCAACCAGGGAAGTGTTCAGGAAGGTGGAGCCCTGGCAGGTTAGGGCAGGGGTCCTCGAACTCTGCTTCTGGCAGGCCTGAATGTGCGTTCAGCTAGATAGGAGTGTTTGGCCACTGAAATGGAATACTGGCAGCCTTTCTCCATTGGTGGGAAAATTAAGCAACTAATGGTGCCTTTTCTGTTTCAAGTTTTTCCGTCACAAATTTTTTCCTAAAGCTTTGATGCCTGCTAACATAAATGAGGAGAAAAAAGAATATGTAACAGAAGATTATCAGTGGAGGTCATGCCAGTCCTGCCTAGTTCCCCATTTGTTTTGTTGTCAATGGTTGCTACTTCATCTTATATAAGATAGTTATTATTTCTGCTAATAAAACTATTCCATTTGTAAGTGTAGAATTACATAGACCAGAATCTTATGATGCTCTCAAATTAAGTACTCTCGAACTCCAGGCGCCTCCCCAGGACGTAGGTGAAAACCTCCACTAATGCAGGGCAGAGTGCTGCCGATTAAACCTCTCCCCGGTCAGCAAAAATAGATGAAGAGGAGACGCAAGCGCCTAAGAACCTAAGTTAGTCAGTCACCCTGGTGATAATGGCTGATGAACACCTCAGAAGAGACTCACACGACTCTCAGATCCCCAGTGACCATGGGAGAAGGTGCGCAATTGCTGTGTGACACGTGGCAGCAAAGTTTAAAGAAGAACTTGGGGGCACAAGGAAGGAACCTGGAGTCCTCGCGTGCACAAGAACAAGCAGCTAGATTCATGTATAGATAGAGTTCCTGTATTATTCTAAAATGGGGAACGAGTTGGACTAGTGCATTCAAAGGCTTGGTTCACTTTTGTCCCACACTTAAAACTCCCATTGTCTACACTTTTGAGACCAGAAAGAGGACTGATTTTACCAAATGGTGCACAGAACCGCGACTGCTTCTACCCCTTTAGCTAGGAGAAGGCTGCTGAGGCGGATCTGCTCCTGTGCTCCTGGGGATTTATTCTGTGCCAGGGAAGGTAACTGTGGAGTAACCAAAATTGGTCTGAGATAGTCCTTGACTCTTAGGGCTTCCACCTTGAGAATACAGACTCATGGGATACTGGTTACATACAGGAAGGGGACCTAGGGAAGGTGTGACTTGCCTGAGACCAGCACCTACTCTTCCACTCAGATCAGGAAGAGATCCCAAAACTCTGCTACTCCAACAAGCCACTGGACAATGGGCTTTACACTTAATAAAAACTCCATCTGGGATTTTTAATCTCTATGGAAGGCAACTATCAGGACATAGTGAATCGGAAATTTATATACGTCACAGCTTTCAACACATGGAAACGATCTCAATTCCCTGAAACAATTAAAACACAGAAAACAGCTCAGGCCCACGTATAGTGGTTCTTTTCATTCTTAAGAAATCAGAAAAGTAAATAAAATTAAGTTGGAAAGCTTGCCCTCCAGTGGAGAAACAATGAACTAACCACATACTTCAAAGTTTCAGAAGAACAATTCCTGCCCTGAACCACACGTAAGTGTGCTAACTAGGAAATAAATATAAGTCAGAAAAGGAATCAGTACTGGCGATGGGCCTAGCCTGGGCTGTGCCCTCAGGGAACTGGCTGTCTTGTTGAGACAAGACTAAACACATACAAGGTCCGCCCAGTGTGTAAGATACTACATGACCGCTGAGCATCATGAGAGAGAGGAAGGGACATGATGCAGAGTTGAAAAGAGTAGGTTTGGATCCTGGTCTGCTACTGAAAATCTGTGTAGCCCTGGGAAAAGCTTGTATCCCTATTAGCTTAGTGTCATATAAAATGAGGACAACCTATTCTCTCCCAGCCTATCGCTGGTCATGATGTTTAGACCGCAAGGGTTCCTTCCTAAAGATAACATCTAGGCCTCAGTTGTATTTCAGCTCCAGACCTAGAAAAGCAGCAAAACCAGACAAGCGGCGTAGTGGCTGCCTCAGGACCAGCTGCACTGACTAATGACCCTCCTGCCTTGGCACTGACCAAGCAGTGGAGACCACGACCCTGAAAGAACGAACATGGAAAGCTGATGAACATTCTACTGAGACACTCCCCTGAGACCTCCCCTAATATTTCCCGCCTGAAAGAGAAATATGCTCAGAACAAAGGACCCAGGGTGAGCACTCTCCCCCGCTCCTCCCCAGGGGAGCGCACCAGCACCATTTTCTTTTCCCCTCCAAAGGGACCCCACGAGATTTGCAACCAGGGGAGCAGTGGGCAGCAGGAGCCTGTCCCGGGCCTACCCCCTGAACCTGTCTCCAAGGCGAGCTTCTCTCTGACTTCCCAGGGAGCCAGAGCAGCCCAGCCTAGGCTCCCCTGTTCCTTTTTCTACACTCTTCCTTGTTTCACTGTCCTAAGGATATTTTTGCTGCAGCCAATAAATTCTTACTTTCTTTTCTACACTTTGTCTCTTGATTGAAATCTTTCTCTCAAGAAGACAAGAACCGAGGTCTCCTCATCGTCTCCCCGGTAACATCACCCATTATCCTGCCTTCTTCTTTACCTTGAACCAAGCTCCCCACATCTCAGCTGTATCTGCCTATAACTCTGAGAAATTCTCAGTAACCCCAATGGAATACTTTTTAAACGACTACAGCAGAAAGCACAATTCCACATTAATTATGAACTGGCATCTTTTATGCAAATGGTATCTTGCTGAAAGTAACATAACAAATTACACATTTGCTGGGATATTTAGTGGCAAAGACTGCCTACTTCTAAATTTATTAAAACACTAAAAAGACAACAAACATCTGTGGCACCAAAATATATTAGGTGATTTTTTTATAAATGGGTAAAAATTAAGATTAAAAGTTTTTGCTCTCTCACCTGGCCGGGCGTGGCTCAGCAGTTGAGCACTGACCTAGGATCCAGGAGATCGGGGTTCGATTCCCGGTCAGGGCACATGCCCGGGTTGCAGGCTAGGCAGCCGATCAATGACTCTCTCATCATTGATGTTTCTATCTCTCTCTCTCCCCCTCCTTTCCTCTCTCTGAAATCAATAAAGATATGTTCTAAAATAAAAAATTAATGATAATAATAATAAAGTTTTTACTCTCTCAAAGAAAAAACATTTTGCAGAAATATTTTGATTTTGTGAAGCAGTAACACAGACACAAATAAGCAACTGTGTACAAAATAATTTATTACAGCATTATATAGGATGACATCATTTTACAGTGTTCTTCTCTCAACAATTATGAATCTAAAATAGCTTAGAGTAAAAGAAAATCATTTTAATTAGAACTGTTTCTCTAAATAAAATCTCCCTTTTGAATTTATATTTGCCTTAAAGGGAAGTATTAATATTACAGACATATTTACAGTTCTGCAAGAAACATACTGAATGATTCCACCACTGTTTTCTATACAAGCATGAAAAAGCCCCCCAAATTGCCTGGCAATACTGTTTTAATAATTAAACTAATACCAGTCTGAATTCTCATTCTGCTGATATAAAAACATATTTAATAGTCTATGTATGACTATAAGAGTAAAGATGCTTCGTTGTAATTCGTATTCTGCTCTACTATGCTCCCTTGAAGTATATACCACTCAGATATAAACTACTTATTAACACGCAAAGCAATTTAGCCAAGAAAGCATCATTCTTGCCTGTGGGTCTTTAAGACTGATCCAAAGATACACAGCAAATTTACCAGTGAATTTCGGTGATTAAGAGGTAAATCAATCCCCACATTCTGAATCAATAGAAATTATCATTTTCATGGCAATTAAAAAGGAAATAATAAATCAGGAAAAAATTAAGGTAGGAAAAAAGAGCAGACTGAAGTAAATTTAAAAATAAACCTCAATATCTGCCAAAAGGAGTTTCATATTGTTTTTAACATACATACAATTAACACTTTAAAACTGACGTGCTTTAATTAAAAAAGAAGCACATAAACAATAATAAACAAACCAATAAGGGATCAAAACAAAGATTCTAAAACCAGGATCTAAAAAAAATAGGAGTGAGGCTATATACAACTTAACTTAATATGAAGTTGTCATGTTTATGACATAGAAGTGAGAGCACCATCACAATGCTGAGAACTCTAAAGTTTAAGAAAACTGTACAAGTATAAACAAGTAATTTTAACAGACATTTACGTATACTGGCAGAGTCAGATAAAGAATAAAATAAGCTTACAGAATAATTCACTGAAAAAGTCTATGCAATTATTTAATTTCATAACCATATTAAAATACACCCTGGAAAAGAAACCCTGATCTGAAGTCAGCTTCGAATCTATAGGAGCCATTTTCTATGGGATTTCAAATTTCACGGGCCAAGACATCATAGTTAGCCGTACGGTTCAGTGCTGCACTACGACTGCTGACTTCATTCACAGCAGGCAGGAAAGCAGACGTGAAAGGAAGCAGGTTATGACAGGCCATCCTGTACTCTTCATATTGGGAATTACAGTTCCCAAAGCTGCCATCAAGCAGTGCCTCAGAAACCTTTATTAAAGTCTATTTGAAATAAAGGGAAATTAAAAAAATATTTAAGTTTGATTAATAATCACTTTAGTCAAAAGATACAATCTGTTCATTAAACAAGAGAAGGCCAGCAAGCCCTAGTCTAAAATAACTTCTCGCTATCTATACTTAAGTAATCACCTCAAAAGAGAAACATTTAAAAAATCAATTCTGCAAAGCCTTAAAAAGCAGTGAAATTCTAATACTTGAAAAAGTGAATCCCTGAAACTTTGATCATGAAAATAAATTGTCCCTTATCAACAGCAATAGCTCCCACATGTTAAGTGAATACTCTGTCAGGCAGGTAGTAAGCAGTTCAGTTCATTATTTCAGTAACACCAGCTCTATGACACGGTATTTTCACCCTCGTCTCATAAATGAGGAAAAGGAAGCGGAGAGAGGTAACGTGCTTAATGTGACATAGCTCATGATTTAGAACTGGGATTCAAATCAAGGCATAACTCAGAAGGCCCACTCAAGAATTATGTTAAGACATGTTTTATTAGATCACTCAGTATCCATAAATTTGGAGAAATCAGTCTGTAAAAAATCTTACCTTTACATTTTTATCTTTTATAGTTTCATCCAGTCTAGTGGCAATGGCAATTGCTTTCTCTTGCCTTGACTTATCCAGAAAATACATCATTTTAGCACCTGAAAAACCAAGACATTTCAAAATGAGTCCACTCCTATGGCTCACATTTGATTTGATTTGATTTACAATGACCAGTGACTTAAAATATGGTTGCAAGTGTTTAATAAGTGGTGGGCTGGAGCTGTCTCCCTCCAGCTCTCAGGAGGCAGTTGTGATATCTCTTCCCACTTCACGTTCAGTGACATTCCATTGATAGTTGGGGCCACAATGGGAGTATTTCTATTATGTCAACAGACTACAAATCAGGGCTTTTTCTGTTACAAAGAGATGGTTGTTAAACATTTACCAGGAACCAGATTTAATACCGGCCCCACATAAATGATATAACTCAAAATGTAAACACAGGTTACCCTGTGGCATCAATCATTTTTTTAAAATGATATCCTAAAATAAAACATCTAAGGAACAAATTATTATCAAAGGACTATGGTAGAGAGACAACAGAAAAAATGTTTCCATATTCACAAAGGAAATAATTTTTAAAGCTTTTTAAAAATAAAATGCAGTTTATATTTCTCCAATAAATTACATGGTCCATATTCAATGCTCATTGGGATTTTATTAATTTATATTGTTAATTTATAAGAGCTCCATGTATATTATTAGCTTCATATCAATCATATATCTGTGAATATTTTTTCCCAGTTGGTCTTTTGACTTTATGATGTTTTTATTTTTATATAGCAAAAATTGTCTTTTCTTTACAATTTCATATAATGTTTGGAAAGGTGTGTCTCATAATTATAATAAAGAAACGCTTTCTTTTATTACCCTGTGTTTTTGAAAAGATATTCTCATCTGCCCTTACTACTAAGAAGTGTAATTTCTCACATGAATTAAGTTTTTTCCATAGATATCAAAAACCAAGAAGTTTCCCTTTACAACAGAAAAGCTTAGGGTAAAGTATTTAAATACAGTATTATGGCTTAAAGTAGAAGCAGCAATTATATACTTCATTTTGTCCTTAATTCTCTTTCCACAATCTTTTGTTCAGTTTGCATTTATGCCATCTTGTCATTTTATAAATTTGTATAAATTGCCTAAGTTCTTTCCTATAACAAGGCAGGATATATATATATATAAATAAATTCTCAAAATACAAAATATAGAAAGTAATAAAAATACAAAAAAAATAATTTACTCATAACCACAATACCCAAAGGCAACCATTAAAGCTTTGGTATACATTTTTTAGCCTTTATCCCATATATATTTTTACATAGTTGAGATTATATTTTATGTGAATTCTACATACCTATTAAAATGTATCTACCCCTGTTATTACAACTCTCTAGAATAAACATCACTTTCTAGGGTTACCTGGTATTCCACCCTACAAATCTACTACTTCTCCCTATTACTGGACATGCATTAAATCTGTTTCCACTCTTTTCCCCATAGTTGTACACATTTTAGTTAACATCTTTGCACTTAAAAGCTCTTTCTTTGCTTTGGAATAATTCTTTAAAATTACTCACAAAAGTATGACTACAGCAAAAGATGCAGGTAATGTGAAGCTCTTAATAAGAATGACAAGTTGCTTTCTTAAATGGCTCAGCCAATTTACACTGCAGCGGCAAAATACCAGTGCTTATTAACTACATCTTTACTAAACTTTAATCTTTTACAAACAAACAAACAAACAAAAAATTTCTTAATTTGAAGGATCAAAAGTGGTATTGTGTTTATTTTTCTCTGATAATTAGTGAGGTTAAACATCTTTCTAAACTTTTTTTTAATCGTATTCTAACTTTTTTCCATAAACATTTTAACCCTGGGAGCTAAATACCAACCTGAAAGTAAATGCTGAAGAGAGGTAGCATTATGTTTGAGAAAATCCTCATTAAAACTTTCCAAATCCTTGTTGAAAAATATCTTCTGCATTTCTTGAGATAGAACTTTGCTCACAATGTCTGGAAGATTACTATGGTTAGACACTATAAAAACAAAATATTTGAAATTAAAAAAATTTAGGTCTATCCCTTGAAACAAAATCAGCTGAATACGTTTATTAAGCTTAATATATTTTACATAGTAAAAATATTATTGCTCCTTTGGAATATAAATATATTCTAGCTTAAAAATGCACTAATTTGCCCTGGCTAGTGTGGCTCAGTTGGTTGAGCATCATGCCATGCACCAAAAGGTTGCCAGTTTGGTTCCAAGTCAGGGCACATGCCAGGGGTTGCAGGCTCGATTCCCAGTAGTGGGCATGGAGGCAGTCGATCGATGTTCCACTCTCACATCGATATCGATGTGTCTCTCTCTCTCCCTGTCTCCCTTCCTCTCTCTCTGAAAGTCAATAAAAATATATTTTTTAAAATGCAGTGATTTCCAGCACATCTTTGCTAACATGTTTAATTTATAAACATACCTTCATTTAAATGCCACATGTAAACATTATCTTTTTTTTTGCTTTACATTTTACAAATCTCTTTTAATGTGCAGCTTAATGGAAGACAGCTAAATTGTCACATTTGCTTTTATATAAATATTACCTTGTTTATACTTACCAGATTTAGAAAATTTAATTAAACATTCATGTAACCATGGGTTATTGCTGTTGATGGCAAAAGCTCGTTTGACAGATTGCAGCATTAACAGAAACTTTCCTGTATCAGAAAAAAAAAATTAACAGGATCAGTATTTATGTATGATATTTTATTCACTTTATTTTAGCCTCACTTAAAATCCAGTAATAAAATGTTATTTTCCTACAACATTTATAAGCAAAATTCAAAGATGACTTTGGTTTTCAAAGACAAATTTTCTAAATAAAATAAAAGCTTAAAGAATTATGAAGAGCTGCTTCAGGTAAACAATTTGATTGTTCAAACTATTCTCTCTTTTGTTTTTTAAATTCTCGACCAAGGGTATTTTTCCCATTGCTATTTTTAGAGAGTAGAAGGGGGGGGGGACATCGATGTGAGAGAGACACATCCATCAGTTGCCTCCCACAGGAGCCCTAACCAAGCCAGGATCTAACCTGGTGCGTGCCCTTGACCAGGAATCAAACCCTTGACCATCTGGTGCGCAAGCTGAAATTCTTAACTGCTGAGCCAAGCCGGCCAGGGCTGTTCAAACTATTCTTAAAATAAATTTGATTATAATATTATAATTCATTACCCAGTAAAGTTTTGAGTAGCAAAAGAAAAACGGATCAAGAGCTTTTGTGGAAGGTTGAACTGGAACACTAAAAAACAAAAATAGATCTAACTGACAAGATTATACCGAATATGGTCACCAAAATAATGAAGGGGGCTCACTGAAGAAAGGGGGAGTAATTAAGCAATACACACTCGAGAGTGCGCAGGCATACACACACGCACACACGCCCACAACATGAAGACAACATTATGGTGATAGCTGCAGGGAAAGGGAGGTGGGGGAGGTAGGGGAAGCTGGAAGTGGGCAAAGGGGGGAAATGGGGATGAAAAGGGACTTGACTTGGGGTGGTGAGTGCACAATGCAGTGTGCAGATGATGTTTTATTGAGTTGTACACCTGAAGCCTACACGGCGTTATTAACCAATGTCACCCCAATAAATTCAATTTTTAAAAAAAGAATTAAAAACTGAGTTCAAACCATTACCTTTTCTAAAATATATTTCAAATGCTAACAGATGAGTATCAATGTTATCAGCAACAAGGTTCTTAAGAGGTATAAGGAACTTGATAGCTTCTTCCAATGGATTTTCTATCTATTTTGAAAAAGAAAGGAAAATTATTATATTTAAAAAGCAGATACACAAGTCAAATGTGTCCCCAAATTTTATATTAATACACATCTGAAGTAATTTTGACAGTGTGGGGTAAGAAGAAACTCTGTTGGTCTAACAATCAAATAAACAGGAGACAGATTAATAAGATAAAATTCCCAAATTTAATTACATACGCTACATACATACATATGGGAACCCTGCATACATAGATAGAGATCCCACATACATGAGAGGTTCAAAGACAGAAAGGGGAAATTAGGTATATATGACATTCTGAATAAAGGGTCACCTTGGGGCTTCAGAAAGGAGAAAGGTAGGAAGAGCAGATGTTTTAATAATTAGTAGTTTGCCCTGCCATACAGATGGTCAAAAAAGGTTATCTCTGATAATCTCTAATTATGGGAAAGGCCCCTAATTCAAATTCTTGTAGGTAATTAAAGGAGGCAGGAGTTTCTCTTCAAGCTTTCAAGGTCTTGGTTGCCTTTAGGCACATCTTGGGTGACTTGTTCTGAACCCTTACAACAGTTCTTTTTATATAACCAACTGAAGGAGATATTATACCAAGTACTGACAGCCCCTTATAGTACAAGCATCTAAAGTAAGGAGACAAATATATCAAGTAACAGAAAAGTAGTGACAAATTTAAAATACTTATACTAGATTCACTGTGAATACACCAGGAAAAAAAATTATCTAAATCTGGTTCCTAAATAACTAAATCTTGGAGATGAAGTGTTAATTCTTTGTAGCTAAAACATACCTAGCAAGATATATATAATGCTTCCATATTTAATAGACAATTGTATTGCTGTTATAACAAATTACCAAAAAATTTAATGTCTTAAGACAACACAAATTTATTATCTTGCAGTTCTGTAGGTTAAAAGTTCAACATGGGTCTCGCTGAGCTTAAAATCAAGTGTGAGCCAGACTGCATTCCTTTCAGAGGCTCTAAGGCAGAATATGTTTCAGTGTCTTTCAGCTTCTCAAGGCTCCCTACATTCTTTGGCTTGAGGCTGCCTCCATCCCTCCACTCCCTCCATCTTCAAGGCCAGCAACAGGTGGTGGAGTCCTTCTCACACCACTCCTATCTCCTTTCCTCTTCCACTTTTTTAATATGTTTTTGTTGATTGCAGAGAGAGGAAGCGAGAGGGAGAAAGAAATAGGAACATCAATGATGAGAGAGAGTCATTGACAGGCTGCCTTCTACTGGGGATGGATGTGCCCTAGCTGGGAGTCAAACCTCGAACTCCTGGATCATAGGTCGATGCTCAACCACTGAGCCTGCCAAGCAGGCTCCTCTTCCACTTTTAAGGGCCCCTTGTGAATTTACATTAAGCCCACCTGGATAATCCAGGATAATCACATATTTTAAGGCCACATAATTACAACCCTAAATCGCATCTGCCACCTTCATTCCCCCTTGCCATGTACTTTAACATGGTCACGGATTCCAGGGTTTAGAACACAGATACCTGTGGATGGTCATGCTTCTGTCTACCACAACTACAATTCTATGTATAATATGCATTAGCCAAATTTGCATATCATTCAAAAATTACTGACTATCATAATGATCTTGAAATATTACAAATGGCTTCTGATTTATAAATTTAAAAAAACATGTTTATGTCCAGAACAGAACTAAATAACATAAATTTTACTAAGCAACATAGTAACTTCATCTCACCCGCTCTAACTTTTCAGGTATAAGTTCTTCTTTGAGACCACTGCTTTCTTCTTCTTCTTCTTCTCTTTTTTTCTTTTGATTTTTTTGTTGACGTTCCTTCTCCGCATGCTTTCTCTCTTCTTCTAATTTAGCCTTTTTCTGAGCTCTTCTCTGCTTGCTAAGCATTTTCTTCAATTCTTTGGCTGACAGGTTTTCTATAAATATCCAAATGCATAAACATTCTGAGTAAATGTTTCCATTTTTCTTCATATTCTTGTGCAATACATACTATTAGTATAGCACTTTGGGGGAAAGGCAACTATATAAAAGTTTTTAGAAAGTGTATTCTTAATGACTAGCACTAAACATGGCACACAAAAGACAACCAGCAAATGCTGCATTGACTAAAATTACCAGTTCTAGCCCAGATCTGCCTCCTACACAATACATGACTTCAGGCCAATCGTCTCTTTCAGTATCGTTTCAAACTGTGTAAAGTAGGGTGGATAATACCAACTATTCTCTTAGAGTATTCAAGGATAAGACAGTACATATATACACACTTATGATCTCTAAATAATACATAAATATTATGAATGAAAGATCAGAAATTTGCCTCTATGCTGTTTTTCAAATATTCCTAGATACTAACATTCTGGTAAATAAAAGCTATACAGATATTCTCATTAGCATTATTATTATTTTCAATAAAGTAGGTACTAGAAGTTGTAAGTATAACTGTTTTTCCCTAAAGGAACTCAAAGCTTTTTCCCCAGTTACAATTAAATAATAAGAAGAAGAAGAAAGAACCCAACCCATAGACAATTCTGTTTTTCCTGAATTGGCCTTACTGAAGATAAAAATAAAGAAGATTGCAAGTCATTCCATTGGGCAATTTAGAAGCATAAGCTACAGAACATCATCCTACCAGCTTTTTCTTGGACTTCCCCCCACTTTTTTCTCACACACACACACGCACGCACATACACCCACAGTATATCGTCTTCACACCCATTTGACAATATACTTTTCTATGTACTGTTTATGTTAATGACATTCTGAAATTTAGTGTTCTTTTCGAATTTTAAAAAATAGTTCCCTGTCAGTTACCTGAATTTACTTCTTGTTGTTTGCTTTCATTGGTTAAGGGATTATCATACAATTTCAAGTATATTTCAATCGCTGATCTAGCAGCCTTGAAATAGAAGGCATGTCTTCTGAGTATATCTTCTAACCTCAGAAGGTCAACATATGCACGAAGGGTCATCTTCCTCATGCAGTATGTATGGAAGTCAAATTGATCATCGGTTATCTCAAAAAAATGCTTAAAAATAAAACCACAAAGTTATTTCTTACATTTTGTCAATAATGTCTACTTTTGAAAAGAAAACCATAAAAAGTCCCAAAACATTTTTAATCTCCACAATTTCACTTAGTTATCCTCTCCAGTGTTTAACACTGTGAAGGACATTGAGTTCTTCTTTGCATGTAACTTAAGTTTCTCTTTCTACTATTGATGATTATTCACTAGAAATCATGTTTTGTGATGATACTCAATTTCTATGTAATAAGTCAGATTTTTAAGCCTGGAAATCAGTACATATTGATATTTTAGTTTTAGTGAAACACTTCTCCTTAGTATTTTCCAAAAATGAGCATGGCAGAGTTAAACAGAGCTCTGACTAAATATATTCTATAGATTCACAAAAAATGTTTACAAATCAGACTGCTCTGCTCAAGCATGAGCTCTTCATGGGTAAGTGTTGTCATGTCTATCCCCACTGCCTGGCACAAGGCCTAACATAGCAGACATTCAATAAGCACAATATTGGCCAATTCAAGAGATCGGTTGCTTATCAGGCATGTCACCTCAATTATCTAAAGCCTCGATTACTTAAGTTAGGAATAAAGAAATCTATGCAGCAAATTTCATAAGGTTGTTAAAGTTCATTCTAAACTTTAAGCTGCTATATAAATGCAGAACATTATGGTTTTCTCTCACTCAGTAAGATACCATTAATCAACCTACATTCCATTTTAGCAAAGGTTCTTAGTCTGTAGTCTAGGTATAAATATAACATTTTCCTAAGGAGAGAGCTTGAGGCTTTCATCCAATTCTCAAAAGGTCCATAGCCCCCAAAAAGTTTAAGAACCAATCCCTTACATCTAAAGAAGACTAACTCCCTACAAAACAATTTATACTTTTCTTCCCTATATGCATCTCTACCTGCTTTTTTTCTCTCCTACTTTAGTTTCTTCAAAAACATATAGGAAACAAATGATTCACCACACCAACACAGTACAAGCTCTTCTACCACTTCATCTTCCCTCTGGCCTGCAGCCTAGTAACTCACTATGCAGACAACACATCAGTGTCGATATCATTTGATAATTTTAGTTGTCTTGGTAATTAGAAACACACCATACACAGAATTACATCAAGTACCTGAGACTTTAAAAGAAGAATTTTAAGGTAAAAAGAAAAGTACACAGTGTGGAGGGAAAGAAATAGAAAATGAACACATTAGTTTATATTTACTACTTTAAGAATCATGCTTTAATGATATTATATTTGAAAATTGCATTCCTCCCAGCAAGAAGACAAACCAATTTATAAATAACAAGCTTGTTTTTTTAAAAAAAAGAATTACATATTTCATAAAGTTATTCATGGTCTTCCTTGATGTCAACCAAGTTATGTCTAGTAGCATAAGAATATCTTAAAATGCAATACAACTAAGTAAAATGGCAGTGCCAAAAATTACGGAGATGATAACTTTCAGAGATTACAGGGCCTTTTTTAGGCTGAGAAACATTTATGTGTAAATAGGCAGACACATGTTTCAAGAGATATTCCTAGCAGCATTAGTAAACATAGATTTTAAGCCAAATGTCAGAAGGAGTCTTCGGAACCGCAAACACTTAAGCCTCCTCTTTATCAGTAACAGCCCACAGGCTGCCTCTCTCCAGTTAATGTCTTCCATAAATAGGGTAACCAACTTATCCCACTTTGTCTGAGGCTTTCGGTTTTTCCACCGAAGCCTTGTGTCTCAGGAAGCTTGCTGAGACCTCCAAACTTGGGTGTTGATCGCTCTACAATAAACTAAGGGTGGTGGACCAGATATGACTAAATTAAACTAGGAAACATAGGTACTACAAAATAAGTTTGCTTCTAGATGAAATTTTGTTTGGAGAATCCTACTTAAAAACAACTAAATAATCGTCGGTTGCTTTCTATTTTTTAACTTTTTATTTGGAATAATTATAGACACAGAGGAAGTTGCAAGGTAGTATAGAGATGTTCTGTATACTCTTCCCTCCGTTTCCCCAGAAAGGCTACATCTTCCATAACTATACAACCAAAAGACTGATACTGGTACGACTTATGCGTAGTTTTTAGATTCGAGTAACCAATACCACAACCAAGATATAAAACTGTCTAATTACCACAAATATCTCCCTTGTAACCACATCTTGCGGTGATTTTCAGGTCTCTAAATTTATAAAACATAAAAATATACTAGATAACAAGAACAGGTAAAGTTAGTTTCCCTGCAGTTGGCCGAACATGATAAAATCACTTAGCTCACTGCAGACTCTAGGCACCCAAATTTTAACCTATTGCTTATGCCCTTAACTCACTGTTCCCCTCATCATAAACACTAGTTCTCTCTCTCTCTTTTTCCTGAGGATAGGGAGTAGTAATGCAGGAATTGCTTAAATTGTGAAAATTAGTCTTGAATCAAAGTAAGACAAGTCAGCAAAGAATTTAAAAATGCTATTCACAGCTTAAGAGTGTAGTTTTCTTTAGGAATTCCCTACTACGCCCTCTCTTCTGGCCCAGGTTCATCTATCCATTCCTTCTCAGAGATACTAGACTAATACGAACTCACACACACAAATACAACGAAAACCTCTGGACTTAAAACTTGTAATAACTAGACCAAAGAGGGTAATAAGCAACACTACTTCCCTTATAGAGACAGAATCTGCCATTATAAAGCATGTATCAATTTGATAAAAATTAAGATGCACTAGAAGATAAAGTTATGAACTTCCTATGGTCTGAGCTATCAGAAATCCTACATCTTATCAAAAAGTTTTACAATATGTATTATGCTCTGTTTCAGATACAAATCAGCACACTAAAGTATAAAGAAATCAATCATCGAAAAGGGGAAAAAGAAAATTCAATTGTTGAGTGATAAAATAGTTTAAAATTTTATTCTGAGCACAAGTTTATATCCAATATTTTAAAGACAGTTGTTTTGTTTTGCTTTGAAGAAAACTCAAGTTCTAAACATCTCTCTATAACCTGTACATATAATCCTAATATCCTATAAGGGGGCAAAATGTAGACAGAGAAAGTACTACACTGGGCCATTCCAGAATTCTAACATTTCAAATCCAGTTACTAAGAGCTCACAGTAAAATGTGTCCTAGCTGAAACTGCCTCAGTGAAAGACTTCTGGAAGGAGTTCTTAAAGGCACAAGACTTAGCCCTTATTTGAACTTCTCTCTCTATTCACTGACCTTTTATTTAGAAAGTAAACTGTGAAGTTTTATTTTTAAAAGGTCCTCATTTCTTTACTAACGTATTTTAAACTCAGGCACAAAAGTAACTCATGTAGATACCTATCATAATAAATCTTTTAATTCAGTAACTACTCCTAAATCCTTATAATTATATCTTAATAGTTTTTAGATTACATTAATTTTATTAAAAATTAATTTTAGGGGCATAATCAGTCAGCAAATATTTAATCACCCTATTTGTACTAAGCACACACATATTACCACTAGACAAGTTAATTCTTACTTTTAGTATGAATTCACCATGAAAAGACTAACTTACAAGTAACATAAAAAAGGCTCTTGTTTGTTTTTAGTTTTTTCTATTTAAAGCACCAACAGCAAACCCTAAATAAAGACAGTAAAGATTCTAGCAATAATAATTATGTACAGTGACCAGAGGGTTATGATTTTGCCGTTTTAATCTCTGATAACCAATGATTTCCTATACTTTTTTTTTCAAAAATTCTTTGTACCAGTCTTGAACAACATGGGTTTTTATAGTTTTAAAAAATCTGTGTATAAAGTGGACCTGTGCAGTTCAAACCATGTTGTTCAAAGGTCAACTCTATTTCTGATCCATGATTGGAAATCCACATATACAAAGGGCAGACTGTAGTTATACGACAATTTTCGACTTCACAGGGGTTAGCGCCCCAACCCCCTCATTGTTCAAGGGTCAGCTGTACTTCATCTGACATTACAGAATTGTACTTCATGTTACTTAGCCAAAATCACTAAAAATTATAATCTAAATTTTAAGGGAAAATATAATCTAAATAAAACTTAGTACTGAAATAGCTATTAATCATAGTCTAACCACTTTCAAAAATATTAAAAAGCAATTGGTAATATAGTTATTAATGTTAGGAGGAATGGAACTGAAGCTGAAGTTCATGATTATAATGATCCCAAGGATATTCAAATTTCACTTTCACAGAAAATCTAATAAATTTCCAGTTATGGTCTTGCTGGAATTACTGATCCATAAGTAAATAATCTGTCACTCACCAAGAATGTCCTGGTTAATAAAAATACACCTTTCCTAACAACAAATGGAATGTTTTAAAGTGACAGTCATCAAGCTAGTGATCTACAGTTTTATCACAGAAGAGCCTGATTTACACTACAATGTTTGGATACTGCCTGAGTAGTTCACTTATCATCCAAGGGCTTTATATTTTCAGGAGAAGATGAGAATTTTTCCCAGAGATTTAACCATCAAGCCCAGGCTTAGAAAGAAAAACAAAACAAAACAAAGCAAAAACTAGGTTATCTGTAAAAGGGCTCAGGTATAATCCTAGTTCCAGTTCCCATCAAAAGCCACCCCCTAAGATTTAGCCTTTCTTTTGGGTAACCTCAGAAATTTCACATGGGAAAAAGGCCAAAGTGACTGCCAGAGTGCAGACTTCAGGCTCACCTGACTATGATGCCTGTGGTTTTATACTGCGTCAGCATGGGAACAGTGGTGCCGATTGACCCCAACTGAGGGCTGCTGAGGACTGCCTCAGGGGTGCATTTGTGGCTCTTTTCCTCCTGTTGTCCATTTGGAAGGAGAGTGCTTCAGAGATGACAAAGAACAGGAAAACAAAAATTCACACAAAGGAAAAGAAAAGGCCCCTCACTAAGGCACATCACACACATCATCCTAAAAGCAAGTAAAAAAACAAGCCTGCAAACCAGTTACAGACTGCTGTGCAAAGTACTGAACGTAAGAAATATCCTGGGAAGACAAACTGGAGAGAGGCTGACTACTGAGCGGATCCTGACATAAAGGGGAAGAGGTGGCCATCAGCTTGTGTACCCTTCTAGGCTAGTAATGAAAATCAAATAATGGCCTGATTAAGGAATATAGATTTTGAGTATATGTGACTAATAGCAATAATAGCTTACTAAATTAATCTCTTACTTCTTCCTTCAGACAAAAATATGGAGACACGTTGAAATCATAACCATCTGAGGATCAAACAAAAGCAGTCATTTATTCACAACCTCTGAACGTCTGAAAGGCTAAAGGTCAAGGATTTTTCACAATGAAGTTTCCAAAGTAGATAAAAGTGGTAGATGATCCCATGTAGAAAAATATCTGCTCTTTTCATCACCTTACAGGAGAAAAATAAAGTCAAAATTCTATCAACTTACCCTTTCTACTTCATGGCATTTTTTCAAGGCATCCCCGTATCTCCCCAAACGCTGATAAGCTGCGATGCACTCTGTTTGAAACCACATACACTGCATTTCATTTAGATTTTCCATGGCAGATGTTCCTTCCTGAAATGCAAACATTCATCAATATAAGAAGCAAATAATAAAAGAGATCCAAAAAATATCATTTCCTCTTTTACAACTATAGCTACAAATATTATAACAGCAATTAACAAATACATCAATGCACTGCCAAAAACCTCCTATCGATTTAAAATTTTACATCTTACTGGGCCTGGCCCAGTGGCTCAGTTGGTTAGAGTGTCCTCCCAACACACCAGGGTTGTGGGGTTGATCCTGGGTAAGAACACATACAAGAATCAACCAATGAGGGCTCCCCTGGTGGGGGTTGGCTGTTGGAGTCGAGGCTAAGCTCCTAAGGCGACGGTGCGGGAGGTGGCTTCAGGGAAAGAGTTTGGCACGATGTCTCACACCATTTTACTGGTACAGCCTGCCAAGGGGCCGTAAGGCAGAACTTATGCTATGAATCAGTGAATGAAAGCATGGAAGGCATTTGAAAACTGTATGAAGAGCATCTGAAGAGAATGAATCCCAACAGCCCCTCTATCGAATACAGTATCAGCCAGCTGTTTGATTTTATTGATGATCTGGCAGACCTCAGCTGTCTTATTTACCGAGCTGATACCCAGACATACCAGCCTTATAACAAAAACTGGATTAAACAGAAGATGTACGTGCTCCTTCCTCGGCAGGCACAACAGGCCAGGAAACAGTAGGGCTGGAAGCAGTGGGGGTTGGGGTGGGCTTGGAACACAGGTGTATACAGCGATCTGTAGTAGAAGTTTTATATTATAGTAATCCTGTTTCCATTTTGCTGTACTCTAGCCAGGACTGAATGTGTTAGATGAAATGTGAGGATCCTGTTCAGTCTGAAACTCCCATCATCCCCTTTGTTTTCTTTCTTTTTTTAAAAAACATTGTTATGATGATTTAGAAGGAAGTTTTTCTTTGTCAGTTAATGTTGGTTCCAGTCCTTTAAAAACTGTTCATATCTGCTTTATAACATTCACTATACTAACCCTTCTTTGAGTTGGAGGGTGGTGACACAGTTTAATTATGTCCTAAGATAAAGTCTTAGTGAAAAACAAATAAATATTCTTTAGTTTAAAAAAAGAATCAACCAACGAATGCAGAAGTGGAACAACAAACTGATGTTTCTCCCTTCTCTCTCTAAAAATCGATCAATAAAATATATATATAATGAAATTCCTTTAAAAAAAAAAAAAAA